ACGTAATTCTATTTCAAAATTATTTTTTTCTCCTCATATTATTGATTTTATTAAAATGATGCATTTACATATACTATCATTATATAAAAATATGTACACATGTTTTATGAGTTTAAAAAGTTATAAATCACTTAATGTAAATGAAATATATTTATTAAAATATGTTTAGTAAGTTATAATATTTATTGATCATTTTATATCTCAAAAACATAATAATTTTTTTTTACCAAATATTATTGAACTAGTTTGAATATTTATTTGCACAACTAAATAATCACCTATCAAATACTATTTTTACCTTACAAAATAATTTCAAAAAGTAAGTTCAATACGACAAGACCAAACAGCCTCAGTATGCTATACCAAAAAGCTACATCTTGATTTTTATCCCGACCAGCCACAAATGTTGTCATGGCATCAAACCAAGTTGACATGCAAAAGACAAGGGAAAACGAAATTTTTTTGTTTAGTTGTCAATTTTGTTTTTCTAAATATGCATACAGCAATTATTCCTGCACCAGATCTGATTGTCTGCTTGTCAAGCATCTTTATTTTCGCAAGGAGATGCAATTCGATCCACACAATTAATTAGGAAAAAAACAAGTGCCTATATAGGAATGGCAAAATGACCAGACCCAAGATCGCCCCGCCCCGGTCAACGTAGGAATTCGCTGAATTGAGTGGGGAACGAGGCGGGACGTCCCGCCCAATAATTTTTTTGGACGAGGATGGGATTTGCCCACTCCGTCCCGTTTTGCTCCGTCAATAGTGATTTATAGTAAGTCATTTGACACTTGAGAAACAAAATTATGCAAATTGTGTATACTCATTATAAAATCTATAAAAATGAGACAAAATAAGACGAGACGGGATGGACACAAACAGTAAAACGAGACCTCGTTTGCCTCGTGGGGATCCTTGCTCTCGTTTGGAGTGAGAATGGGATGACAAATTCTATCCCGTTCGAAGCACGGGACAAAAATAGAGAATTTTTTAAGGGGGCGGGGCGAGGATGAGGATGGCGATCCCCCGCCCCGCCCCATTGCCATCCCTATGCCCATAGGCCAAAAAACTGTACCGAGAAAAGCTAAGCTCCTCAGTTGAAAATTGAAATACCTTTTCCGCCTTCCCCTCATATCTCAACCGAGAAAATTGGGGGTAGTTTTCCTCTCTTGAAGTTCAACTATGTTTAAATTAGTTGAAGGAGTGGTCTTAGTAATTAGTTAGAAAATTTCCAATATTTCCTACGTATTTGGGGCACCATTATATTTCTAGATTTAGTGACGAGTATGGTGATCTTAATGTCTTTTTTGTTTTTTTTTTTTTGACTGGCCCCTTTTTTTGGTGATTTGTATATTTGTTTAAAAGACAAAGCCATTATGGCTAAATCTTCAATGGGGCTCTTCGATCTGTCTTAAGTACCTTGATTATAATTCTGATTCGGTAGCTAAAGAATGTTATTCAATTAGGAATTGGATATTTCGGCTTGCTTAAAGTGTGCCCACTATTTTGCATGGGGCCTTTTGTCAATTTGAGCTTGAATGTGCTCTCTGTGGTTGATATAGAGTAGGCCTAACTCCCTGTCAAACCAGTATAATCTCGTGAACTTTTTTCCCCAACAGGATGCCTAATGCATGGGATTTGGATTATATAAGGAGAGAGTAGGGCCTTCCCAATTTTCCAACCTCCATCATAACTTTCTCAAAGTTTATTTGAACCGGAAATCTGATCAAATTTGAAAACCTCAAGTATTGAGGCTTGGCAAGAAACTAAAAGACATAGGTGAGCTCATTTGAGGACATAAAAATGCAACACGATAGTCATTTACCATTTAAGGATGGAGCAAAATCAAAATAATCTTTTTTGTAGCAGAGAGAAACATCAAAACATAAAAGCGGAAATGAAAATTAAGTGGGTTTGCGATGACCGTGACCTCAATAAAGTTAAAGTTTTCCAAAGTCCTTCATAAGCAAATTAAAGAGAGAAGAAGTTGTTTTATTGTGTAATATTGACATCTTTCATGCTTTTGATATGGAGTGAGGACCTAACTTTTTGACTTATATTGGCAGATTTTCTTTCTTCACCTCCAGCATAAGAAAAGAGCTAGGTAGGCAATAGACATCCAGCTCCCATCACTAAAGTAAAAGGAATTAAGGAAGAAAAGACATCAATGATAGCAATCTCATCGGATCTTACTATGATTTTTTTTTTTTTTATAAGTTATATTATGTCTATTCTTACAACTTGCATATTGTTTCATTTTAATTTTAAACTCCTACAGGAACATTTTTATCTTTGATAATGACCACCCACCAGGATCTGATAATGGCATAGGCAGCTAGGCTTGCCAATTGAATCATGCAAAGTGAAATAGCATCTTGCTTATCGTAACATCCTACTAGAATAGACCCTATATAATTAATAGAAGGGGTCAGATAAAACCAAAATTGGATGAACGTACCAAGTACCCAACATTTAGATCTTACTCTACAGAGTTATGACAGTGGGATAAAATTGGGTTACTAAAACTATCAACAATGATCGCCTTCAAACGGTGGAAGTGGCATAAAGTTTGGATATGCTTTACTAGATATTGCTCATGGTGGCCCCTTTAGGATAGAACAACACAGAATAACTGCAAGATTTACGTCTGAAAGTAAAGTCATATTGTGAGCAACTTGGCCCGAGAAGGCTTGTTTTGTGCCAAAGGGCACACATGAAAAGATCTTGATTGGTTAGTTCTGACTTCTGAGCTAAGGCACTAAGGTTACTTTGGCAAGTACTCTCCAAGCTGGGGTAGGAAACCATGTTAAGAAGTTTTCTTTCTGTTTGTTAAGTGATTTCAGGGTTGGCACAATATTACTTAATTAGTTGAGAGATCCCAATTAGTTGCATATGAATACAAACCACACAGGAGTAATCGTGAGGCCATATTTGAGATTACAAGGTGAACGGTGATTTTTCTTAATGAAGAAATTAGAAGCACAGAGGGTTTAATTAAGGTACTTGATCAAGTTATATTGACAAGTTGACTGCAAAGTGAAAAAACTGATTAACTGATGAATGCTAGCATAGAGTCCTTTGAAAGGTGCGTTATTAGATTCCGAACTTGGTTCAAACTCAAGTGCTAACATGTGTCAGAAATGTTAAAGAATTCCTAATTGTACTTCTGAAAAGCACAACGACTTGGCCAAGGAAAAAGTAGCGCACCACCTTTGGTTGGCATTTGCACACCATTTAGGTCTATCCATCGAGGTTGACTGAGTTTTGCCTCCGATAAGGTATTTTCCATTTCTATTTGTTATTTTAGCTCGTGTAATTCAAGGAGGAAGATACCTCATATTGATCCCCAGACTATCCATCATTTTCAATTGGTCTCCAAATTAAAATTTTCATCAATTGGATACCCTACCAATTAGAACTTCTCAATTGAGTCCCCCATATAGATGCATATTTCTCAATTTTCCGCATTCAAGGATTTTCCATGCGCGCGCGCACACACATATATATAGCTATTGTTACGGCTCCTTCGAATGCTTTATAAATTGATAAGAGTGACAAGATTTTAATTCCAAAGAAGCGAGGCTGTAAAACCTTGAACGATAAGGTGACTCTTTCGAAAAAAGTGTAATGATAGTGTTTATTAGTTAATGACATTGGTGATAACTAATATACTCGTAAAATAAATTTTTTTAATTGGATGAAGGATCGAAGATCAAACTAGTGTATAGAAATGAGTGGTGGCTTGAAAAGACAGTAATGCAAGTATGGACGAGATAATAAAATGCAATATTAAGAAATAAAAGTTCAAAATCCCTAATTTAGGTCTTATGATTGTTTATAAAATTACAACATCTCGCTAATTTGTATGAAAAGTGCAGTAATATTGTCTATCCGTTTGTTATTAATAACTTTCGATTATAATTAAAAAGTGCGATAAAATCGATCATCCGTTTGTTATTAACAACTTTTGATTCTAATTAGAAAATAAATTTCTTTAACATTAATAGATAATTATTGAATAAATATGATAGCATTATGGTTGTTGTCCATTGAACAAAAATAACTTTAAAAGCATGCTTTTTTTAAAATAAATGTATAATTTATTTTTTTAGTAGTTGTAAAATAGGTGTGAATCTCAACCATTGGCCGATTAGTCAGTAGACACTCCTACTAACCCGCCTAGGGTTAGTTACCTATATCTGTTTTTCGAATAGAATAATAAGTTAAAAATATATCATAATTTTTATGTACTTAAATAAAATTTAAAAATATGCATATATCTTGAAAATATATATATCATTTATTATTTGGGTATTATAAAATTTTTCTGTTGCATGTGTCACAAATTACTCCACAGCCATGCTTTTTATAGGTGAAGCCTCTAGATGTTTAGGAAACAAATCCAAGTTCCCATTACAAAAAAGTGTCCGCCAATTAACAATAGCCCCACGAGCCCAATCCTGATGACCCATGACCATATCTCTGAGCCAGACCACCATCTTTTACGGGAATCTCGGGGAACCAAACAAATATTCTCATTTCCATGAGTTCCTGCCTCACTCATTTTAGATGTTCCCCCCGTTACATCCCAACTTCTGGAATGCATATTTGGACATGAAAAATCAAAAGAAATTTGAATATTTAACAGCCCCACAAAAATCCTTTGGTGGTTCTACTTTTGTTCTTTCTCTATCATTATCGTCGATACCACTTATCTTATCCTCTTTCTTTTACCCTCTGCTTTTCTTTTTCCGTTTTTTTTCCCTATCGCCCTCACATAACAGAAGCCTCTACCTTTTCCTAACTGTTGCTGTTGGTTCTAGACTTCAATTCTATCCATATATCACATCCATTCAATTGGTAATGGTTCAAATTAACAGCAAATTGCGTGGTTTAAAAGGACAAAAAAGAAAAAAGCATCCCGAAATGCCAAATATAATTCATTCTACGTACATTTGCTTTTAATTTTCCTCTCTTAAGTTATTTTGATTCAAAGAATGCTGCGGTTGGGGAGCAGGAGATATCTTGGAATGGTAGGGTCAGCTGGTCAGACCAGTGACAATTTATTTCAGTTTCAGCTTTTGCGAAGGGAGCCTGAAAAACAAGTGTTATTTTTATCTATGAAGCAATGATCTTCTTTTGCCAGCTTTTACTTTTCCCAATTCTTTTGAACTTACTTTTTTTTTAATGCTTTGTTCTTCGTTTTTGACTTGAGTTGAAACATGTTTTCAGTAATTTGAGAGATTAAATCCACTCGAACGAACCAAATTTACTCCCAAATCCAAAGATAAATAAACTGTTGATTTTATTTTTCATCAGAGTAACAAACATTAAGAAAGAAGCTAGACCAAGCATTAATTTGTGGATGATGCAACTTAATTTATTAATCACTACCCCTGTGTTCCTTCCTGTCATCAATCTTAATATCTTGCACACCCACATGATGCTTTAGCTTAGCCTTAACGTGCATGGCAAAAGCACCCATCAGTTTTCACCTTTACCCTCTCTACGCCTTTTAAAGCTTCCAAAACATCATCATCTCAAAAAGCAGACCACAGCGTTTCTTTCCTCCCTTGGAACTTGCTCGTACGTGGAAAAACAGTGTTAAAGTGAGCATCACAAATTAAATAAGGGAAGATATTAGGGCAGTTGCCGACGTCTTTGTTTAATTTGGCCCGTATGCAGTACCCCACCCCAGCAATGACTAGCTAGGTTTCTATGTACCTATATTTTATTTGCCTTCACTCTGAAGGCAACTTTATGATTTGGAGCATCAAATTTTTCTGTTTTACTACTTATTTCTATCCTACTTGTAAAACTAATTTTATTGGAAGCAAGATTCATGAAATTTAACTATTTTCAATAAATATGTTTTTAGAATTCAAATTTTATATATTGACAGAATATCCATCTTAATACCAATTCATTTATCACTAATCCAACAATTTATTGATTAAAATATTAAAATTTATTTGCAAGTTAGGAGTTTTATTTATTAATTCCTTCCGGTATGTGTGTTATAGGTTTTTGTGAGAAAGCTCGTGGTCGGCATAAATTTAATTAATTAAGGATGGATGTTATTTCGCCATGTATATATGCATCATTATCAAGCTCTAGCTAGTCCAAGCATCTAGCTATCTATATATTTATACAGGCTATGCTTTCACCATATTTTTGCTTGACATATACATATATAATAATCTTAATTAGTCAATTTAAAAAGTCGGTACCATAGTTAAGGAGATTTGTTTTTAAGTTTAAATTTTAGGTTCAATACCTAAAAAAATTTATTAAATTTCTTCAAATTCATCATGTCACATGATACGAGAGGTTCGTCTTTAAAATCTTTTAGGAAGAGACTTAATTTCAATTGACTTGCAAACTAATTTGGAGATACTTTTATTGTTGAATTGAATTGAAAAAAAAACCTCTAAAGGCTTTGATGAAAGTTAATTAGTCTCTTCTAACTAATCACTAATCGGTGTTAGAGAATAATATAAATGATATCTTGGGATTTTATGTAATAGCTCAAGCTTTTGAGTAAGATGGTCTTTTGACATGTTATCAAAGCCTTAATGACCAAACAATCGAGTTCAAATTCTACCATCTCCACTTTCTCTTTTAATTAACGATAAGCGTATTAGAAAATAATATAAATCATATCTTGTGGTCTTACCTAACGGTTTAAGTTTTTGGATGAGATAATCTTTTGACAACTAGAGCATTTCGGTTTAAAGAAACCTAGGTGAGATGGTGCTTGACAATCGAGCATTTAGGTTTAAAGGACCAATTCATGATATAATATTTTTCCTACTCTTTGATATAATTACATAATCTTTGCACATTGCAGTTAGATTTTGAAATTAAGGCAGAATTGCCATTATTGAACTCAATCAAGGGAATGGCAGCTTTGATTAACCTGAAGTTTCCCAAATAATTAGTTAACTCAGTGTGTTAAATTGAACGAGAACTGCTTCAATTCAAACATCCAAAAGCAAGTAAGTATTTTTCGTATATGTATTTGGAAACAAGGAAATATAAATTGGTCTTTCTAAAATGGATACACCATCCAACAAGGTCCCAATGAAAGCCAGATTCTTACTACTTATATACATATATAAGAGGAAAAAGGAAAGTATAAATTTATATTTCAATTTGCTTTAAAAGGCTAATATTTCTGGTGTGAAAGGAACCTAAATCAGTATTATAAACTTGAATTACAATTTCTCGAAGAAAAGATGACAACTTTTTCAAATTCTGTCTGTTTTGTTATTTTATTGAAGATCATGATTCTTCAATTTATACTCTCCTGTGCTTATAAAAAAAGTTAGATTTCAATTTAAAACATATGTGGTCGAGAAGAATCACATTCCCAGTGTGTGAACTAAATCTGTTGTTCCCTCTAGCTGCTGCCAGTGTCTAAAAGCATATAAAACAGTCAAGTGGAAGACAAAAGATGACTCAAGATTCATGCATTTTCCATTATATATGCAATCTGTCAATCAAAATTCAAAATAATGGAGAACCCTAAAAGCCTTACCAAAGTTAGTCCAAAAATGGCCACTCTAAGTCGCAGATCAAGTTTGATTGTCAATTCTCAAATTACATGCATACGCATGTACGGCTGTAGAAAAGACTTTAGAAGCTGACAAAGAATTCCACAAACATAGACCACTATTTATATATATATGCATCGTTTTTCCAGTACTGATCCAAGAAGCTTCTCATTGTGCCAAATCTCTCGATTATTTGCCATTCTTAATGAATGGGGTATCAAAAATGGGAATTCAAATATAGTCACAGAGTAGTATAAGTGTGCATAAACGGCCAAACACTACCACAATCCCTTTGCATTTTTTTCCTTTGAATTGATATAACTTTTGCCAGTCGAATCAAAACGCAATCAGTCCTCACTAATTGTATTGTTTAGTACTCTTTGTTTCTTTTAGGGCTTTGCCCTCAATATTCTAATAATAATTAAAAAAAAAAAAAAAGATTCCCTAGCTCGTGGGAAAAACTCCATTGGAATCTGATAAATAAAACAAACAGCCCCCATGAAATGACACAGCTATCCATTACCTTAACGAGTAATGAATGATTAATAACACGAACATACATATAGCATAAATGACCAAAAAGTTGGATGAAATTGCAAATGCCATTGACTATTCAAGATGTATTCGTTTTAGAAAATTATTTACAAAACTTTTATATTATGCATGTGCGTATCCACATGGTGTGTGCGTTTGATAACATACAGCATTTTGATATTCATGCCAAAAAAAGAAAAAGAAGAAGAAGAAGAAGAAAACACACAGAGCATTTTGATTGATTCAATTTAACACCCAATTCTTTCAGAAATTGTCATGGTAAGATTCTATGACAAAATTTGAGTAAATCATAAATTAATGCCTCTACTTTGAAAAACAAATTAATCAATCCTCTAAGTTTTAAAAACTAATTATTTAGTCTCATATTTATAAATTGCTTTTAACTTAATCCTTTTTGTTGTAAGAAATAAAAAAAGTAATAAATAAATAAAAATATGAAAAAATTGACCAAAAAAGATGATATTTTGTAAAATAAAATAATATTAAATTAAATATTATTAATACTGACTTAGTGCTCTTCGAATCGTACGGAAAGGTTTCCCATCACAAGTCTCACCAACCTGATCTTCAGCTGGAATTGTATATCCAAACAGGTTTGGAAAAGCAGGTACGATCCCGCTTTGTTTTACACCTCAAGTGTAAGCGCCAAGGCCCCTTCTTCACAAATGGAGTAAATAAATAGTTTTTGAAAAGAAAAAAAAACTAATTAAATTTTTTTTTTAAATAAAGACACTAATTTACAATTTCCTCGACAAAATTTTGACGAACCATACTACAGTGATGAACCCTATTTAGCCAGCATTAGCACAGTAGTGACTAGTGAGTATACAACAGTAGAGAGTCAGTACTGAAGAAGGTCACATAGGCATCGCACAGCTAACTTCTATATACCATATGAGACGATTGTGTTAAATATCACATAAAAAATATCAGCTTGGTAGTACAATAATCAACATATGATTTCTCTAGCACGCGTGAACTGGTCAATAGATGCATGATTGTTTAGTTACTGTAGTATAGATTGCTCCAAATATCAGCAGCATTTCAGATGAGTTCTTCTCATTTAAGTGGTCGACAACGACAAAGGTGGCCCCTCACGAAAAGATGCTTGGTGGCTGCTGGTTGAAACCTGAAAGGTGCCAAGCTGGTGAATCTGGCACATTGCAAAACCAGTGCCGAGCAGGTGAAAAGTACTGGTGATGCCACTGGAAAGGCATTAAAATGAAACTCGGTTTTATTGTTGCATGGATTTGGAGGTCTTGAAACTACAAATAGCCAAGGATATCCTTTTCGTAGCACCCAAGCTTTAGTTTTCTCCTAAGCATTGAATTTATTTACCTTGATCAAAGGAGTACCAATTTATTCTCAAAACTTTAAAACAAAGGATCGATCAATTTATCGGGCTCTCCATTTCGAAGGTGCTATATTGCACGAGCTTGGGCCATCTGTAAAATACGTAAAAGTTCCTAATAGCCCAATGGCAACGGGGAGAACAGAGGTTAACTTCTCCGACATATGATGGAGCCTGAAAGATTGAACCTTTGAGACCTTGACCCAGAAGAGAGGAAGAAAAGGCCAGACTCCTATCAGCCGGGTTCACAACAAAAGGCCTAGGAATGGGCTCAGACATTGGGCCATAAATCATCAAACTAATAAAAGTCAAGGTCTTGAAACAAGGTTCAAGCAACATCCTGCTAATCACAAATCGAGGGAGGAAATGATGAGACATGGTACTTCACCTGCGTGGATCAAACTAATAGAATTTTTACAATTACTAAATTTATCCATGATTTTAGGTTATAGACCGTCCTGTTATCATATCACATATTGAGACCTTTCGTGGAAGAGGCTAATAGGTCTAACCAATGACCCAAATATAAGTATTATCTCCGTTCCAAATGATTGTTCCTTTTTTTGATTTTTTATATAAAGTAAAAAAAATTATTAATTATTATCCCATTATCAGCATATTTATTCATAGTATTTCAAAAATATCTTTTTTTTTAAGAATTTTATTTAGACAATCTTTTACCTTTCACAAAATGAACTTTGATTGAAAGTATTTTAAGAAAATACATCTGATTCCTAATTAGGAAATCTCTATGAACAAGATAAAATAGAGAATTCTTTTTCGGCGACGCGAAATTCAATTGGGCAGGGTAAATGATAAAGAAAACGAATTTCATCTTCTTTTCTTCCTTTCGCATTATATTATAAAGAAATTTGGAAGAATTTATAAGCAGAAGAAACGCTTTATTAAATTAAAATTATGATTATTCAAGTTATAAGACAAGAAAAAGATAAGTTTTGACTAAATAAACATTTTGAAACATGTATAAATAAAAATGTAGAAGATCTCTTTGATACAGAAGTCTTACAAAAAGTAAACATGCAGACAGGAGAGGAAAAAAAGGGGAAAAAAAGGGCGTTAAGAGGAGTTACAGCATACCAACTTATTGCTACTAATACATGTTTTGCTTATTACATGAGCTAGAACTAGAAGTCCGCTGGCCGGAACCAGAAAGGAGATTTTTCCCTCATGAAACCAGGTCATAATTATAGTGTTGTCGTACATGTTCAGTTGCGAAATTTACAAAGGAAGTTTTCCTAGAAACGTACAAAGATACAAATATTTACAAACCGAAAGGGCCGCCTAATTTAAAGAGCTCAAGCTCATAAGCACGCTTTTAAAACTAAAATTAGTCGCATCATGCACAGGCAGCGCATGCTTCTTTAAGATTATTAAAACAAGAAAGGAAACAGAGCATAAACAAAAAAACTAGTACCACCAACCAAAATTTCCTTGGTTTAAGCAAACTAACAACCCTCTTAGGCCAGCAGAATTAACAGACAAGATTACGAGCACACACCTCACCATTGGCTGCTGCAGCTGCAGCTTCAGGATGGTAATGAAGCATCTCCTTCCACATCATCTCTCGTATCACCTCTTCCCCTAATTCCTCATCTATGTCAAGATCAATGGGGACCTGGGCTGGAGGGTTACAGCTGGGATCGTAGAGTGAAGACATGAAAGGGTGTTCCAGTGCTCCAGTAACAGTAATCCTCTTTGATGGGTCGAAAACAAGCATTTTTTTTAGCAGATCAATTGCCAAAGGATGTGCATTAGGATAAAGGCGGGGAAAGGGAGTCCCCGGGGAATAAGGAAGGGACTTGATATATTTCTTTGCCTTGGTGTTATCAATAAACTCAAGATCCTCCTCCCTCTGACTTCCGAGGATGTTGATGATAAGTTTAAGCTGATTGAGACATTCTGTGCCAGGGAAGATAGGCTTCCGACCAAGAAGTTCTGCAAAGATGCATCCTACAGACCAGACATCAATTGATGTTCCATAGTTATCACAGCAGAGAAGGAGTTCTGGAGCTCGATACCAGCGAGTGACAACATACTCAGTCATGAACTGGTTCTTGCCATTGCTAGTACGTGCCAGCCCAAAATCACAGATTTTCAGGTCACAGTTTGCATTGATGAGAAGGTTCCCAGGCTTCAAGTCACGGTGGAGAATATTTGCTGAGTGAAGATATTTCAGACCACGAAGCAACTGCACAGAGACCAATTGGTATGAATCGTAAAGACTAAAAGACCTAGAAAACAAACCATTTGGATGCCACAAAATGTGCCACCATGCAATGGAAGTTGAAATCCGAAAGAACAGGAAAATGTCTAAACAGCGAAAAATTAATAATACAAAAGCATGGCGACCCAAACCAGAAGTAGAAAAAGAAAACTCAAAGGCAAAACACTGTGTGAAATGCTAATGTTCAAATAGTCCCACATTTTTGCAGCATGAAACCAAAATCTCTGGGAGTCTATTGCCATAAAATCATCTTATTGCTGCAGGAATGGGCTAACTACACAATCAGTTACCATTAGAAGTTATAGTAAACAATGATTTTGTAGGACTTCCTATGATCATGGATGTTTGAACCTAAGCATTAAAAAGCACATGCCTTCTGACAATAACATTCGCTGAATATTGGTTTCTTAAAAATTAAAACTGGTCTCATGAAATAGGATTCCAATCTTCATTCTAAGTGAAATGGAAGATGAAAACCAGTAAGTAACTCCATGCATGTTAGTAATGGAGCCTTAAGGTCAATAAAAAAACACAGCACATAGAACATCTATTCAGGAAATTTAACAAAAAAATGCCAGTAAAAGAAACTTATCAATATTATACCCCAATCGCAAAAAGTGAAACATACATCTAACCATTGAATTAATTGTACTTCCATAAGCTAAATCATAACCTAGACAGGATAATTATGATGTTGACAGATATGCTATTAGTACAAGAACAACACACATCAAAGCATACCTTTCATAGTTGTAACATGCAAAGCTTGCATCTGACCAGAGATAATTTCAACCAGCCAAAGCCAACTAATAATAAGGCGAGAGGCCATAAAAGAAAAATCTAAAAACTCATTTGCTGCAGCTGTTAAATAGTTGCATGCAAGTTTTACCCAAATCCAAGCAGGCTCAAGCATTTTACATAACATTTCATTAATTGGTTTGCAACACCACAAAAGCTACCTATTATAAAGACTGTTTAGTAACCCTTTTCTTTCAAACTCTCTACCAAAACTAGCAGAAGAACGTGTCCACTACTGGACAGCACATATATACCTGAAATAGGAAATATTGGCAGTGATCATTACTAAGTGCTTGAGAAGACTTAATAATTTGATGCAGATCCGTATCCATGAGTTCATAAACCAAATAAACATCATTAAAGCTTCTCCTTTGGACAGGCATCATCACATCTTTCAAAGCAATCACATTCTCATGTCGAAGATGCCGAAGAAGCTTCAATTCCCTTAAAGTTCTCAGCGCATCAACACGGTTCTCAAAGGCATTGTGTATCTTTTTAATCGCAACTTTCTCACTAGTTTCTCTGTTCACAGAAGAGCACACAATACCATATGCCCCTCGACCTATAGGCTTGATCGGCACATATTTCGTGTCAATCTCAAACAAAGTTTGCCACATCAAATAGTAATGCTTCCCCTGAATTCTAACCCCATTTGGTGGCTCAACTGGTGTTGCCATGCCCTGCAATACATTCATGCAATTCAACCAGAGTGAATAAAAAAACTATAAACATTCTCAGTTACGGGCATTCCTTCAGAAGCCAAAAATTGCCCATTATATTTTAATCCAACTTGTGAGTATTTAGGCTGTCTTCATAAAAATCAAGGCCACTTAGCATAACCACAATACCACGTAAAGATCAATTACAAAGCTAAGCATTCAGCGCACCCAAAAATAATTCAACTTTTTATCATTTCGGTCCAAAAGCACCAACAAAGAAAGATGGGTGATCTAACTTTCCACCTAGAGACGTAAACGCGATGCAGCCATCAATGTTAACCAGCTTATAACACTACCAAAAAATAAAAAGAAAAAAAAATCATAAAAAAAGTCTAAATTGCAAAAACAAAGTCACAAAAAGTGAAAATTTCCCAAAAAAAAAAAAAAAAGGAACTTACCTTTTTCGGTTTTATGTGATCTTATCGAAAAAAAGAACTTTCTTCACAAATCGCTAAGCCACATCAGAGCTCATATTAAATTCTCAAAGCTAAAATTCTCTCTCAAGAACAGCCAAAAAACCAACTCAATTTGTGCACACAAAAAGTCATTTTCTTTCCAAACTGACCCTCAAACATCACTCAAAAGTCTCCCATTTTGACCACCTCCAGCTCCTTCTGAAAAGTCTAGATGAAGTCCTATCCTGTCACCTTCACCAATCACTTGGGCGCCATAATTTGTACGGATTTGGATCCTTAGTGGGTTGGTTCGAGCAGTGAGTTTTGGATCTATGTTCGGTGTGTGTGATTTCGTCAACGATGGGTGAGATTTTTTATCTAGTAGAAGATCAGAATCAGACAGACTTAGTAAAGAAAAAGCAAGAGACAATAATTGTAAGAGACTTAAAAATGTGAAAAATGTTAGGCTATGAGGATGTCTTTTATTTATTTATTATTTCGGTCTGTTGCCTTCATGATTATTATATTATAGCTTCCCTCGCACTCTCTCTCCGCGTTTCTTCCTTTCTTTCTTCGCAGCGACTGGCACGGATTTTTTTTATTTATTTAGGCAGTGATTTGACAGACAGGGAGTATAGGATACGACGTCGTTGCGTCGATTGATTTTTTGGATCATCAAGAAAATATCATTACCTAGCGAGCTGGGCCACGGGCTTGGTGCTTTTCTTGTGCCGGTAGATCATCACTTTTATAGTATAAGTCAATCAAACCGTCCGCAGATTTGGATGCGGATGGTTAGTAAGTTATTCAATTTGTATAGAACAGTAAAATAAAATAATAATATGAAACTTAAATTTGATTGCTTTATTTTGAGGATATTTTTGGATAGCTTTCCCATATTTAATTATTAGCAAAGAAAAGAAGTTGCCACAACTTAATCTGGAAAGATCAGTGTGGACGGAGAACGAGACGGATAGAGCAGGACACATTTAATTAAATAAGTTATAAACTTTGGCTGCAAAAATACAACAAAATTGCATGAAGATTTCTCTCCTCCCTCGCTAACAAACTGGTGGTACTGAACGAGAAACATTATAAAATCAAAATCATCACTTTGCTTCATTGTCAATTTCACTTTGCCTTTCCTTTCTTTGAAAAACTCCCACTTCCTTTCTTCGAAAAACTACCCTTTCCTTTAGTTGAGAGGTTCTTTGACTTTGACTTCATCGGTTTGCTATTTGGTTTCAATTTGCTTGGTGTTGAAGAAGACTTCCCTTGTTGATTCCTTGTCGAAGAAGAGTTCCCATGTTGATTCCTTCCTCTTTTCTCCCTCTTGACATTGTACATGGTAACAGCCTATTTCCAGACAGAACATTCAAAACAAGAAAAGTTTTCTCTGTTCTACTTGAAAACCCAAACAACGTTAAGAGTGCGTCTAGCATGACTTGTAATCATTAATTTACGCTGTTTTTCACTTTTGGCTCAAAAATCCATAAGAAATGTCGGGTTAGAAAGAAACTTCTTAAATAAAAAGTAATTTTTTATTTGAGCAGAAAACTGAGTTTAAGTCGATTCATAGAAATATGAATATAGAGTAACGTAAGTATTTTCTATGGCAATATACTAGAAGTCAAAAGTAGCTTTTTATAAGTATGTCATTAATCAGCAAAAGCACTCTAATCAATCACCCGATGACTTGAGCATACCTTATCAACATTAAGAATCTCATGTGAATTCGATGAGATTAATTTGCTAAGAACTCTATCAGTTTGCTCCTTTTCTTGATTGCCTATCCCTGAACCTTCTACAACTGGTAGGAACTGGATAAGGACAAAGAGTTAAAAAAAAATAGGAAGAAATAATTGGATCAAATTTCACATAGATATGGCTAAGTTCAAACCTTGCGATGTTTTCCTTGATTTTTAACAGGCTTTTCGCCTCGCAACTTCTTGTCAAACTTTCCACCACTGGCAGTTGCAGTAGAAGCTAGTCCAGCTACATTTCCTAGTTCATCTTTAGTAAGTTTCTTTTTTGCAGCCTGGGTTCCAGTTATAGGCAAAGCTGTGGCAGCTAGCTGAATATGGCTGCAGAAAAAGTTTTTTAGCTTGTGTTATGTACTGAAATATACCAAGATGTTGCACAGAAAAGTCTCAAACCTTTGTTCTTTGCACAAATAATGAAAAGACACAGGAAAGTGCATTCCACATCAAGAAAAGAGAGAGTATGACTAGAAGACCAGCCACACTTCTTTGTAGAACATATCCTTAAGAAGCATGTAAGACAAATGCAAGATAAATAATGTATGCATCTGTTAAACAAAGATAAAAGGAATTTTTTGGCAGGACCAAGGTTGGAACTTCTGGCAATATTAAGTTGCAGACAGTGAAAAAAATTAAGCAATGAAGAAGGGCAAAAATGTTAGTCAAAGGCAAAACCTTGGCAAAGCACCGGCTTTGGAGGCAACTTTCAAGTTTTGCATCTGACTCTTCTGTTGCTTTTGAACTCTTTCCTTCTTCTCTGCTCTTCTCTTGGCAAAAGGATCCACTCCTGGCTCTGCAACAAGCATCACCAATTACATAGATTAGATATCTCCTATACTCTACCAACTGAAAACCTAATATTTCGCATTGGTTATCTATGATTTCAAATCCAGTTGGAATAAATTAAAAAACAAAGGTTTTTTTGAAAGACAAAAAAATCTTTAGAACTATTACCGTCAGTCATCTTGGCCTCAATTATGGGAACATCAGCATCATCATTGACACGATCATATCCATAACGACGTTTCCAAGTACTAGTTTGTTCGTCCCATACAACCTTGTCTTTTTTGCGGTTCTTTATTCCTGAAAAAAATATCAACATGACAAAACCAAGCACATTGAGTTTTGATGTCAAGAAATTAAGATCCACTAAAAAATATATGTCGACTATATTAAAAACCACATTGCTGGAAACCCAGATGCCACAAAATTTAATTAGAACTTTGCAACATTGAGCTGTTCCATAATCTATTTCTCATTTCCCATCCAGGACGCAGATGGTAAGAAAGATAACCTTTTGCTTTGGCAAACTGTTCCCATCTTGTAGGAGGTTTTGGCTTTGGCAGCTGAAAAGAAAACATCACAAGCAAATAAGTTTATAAGAATTTACCACTACACTTTAAACCCTGAGATATTGGTAAACAAAAATGATTGGATTTGGAAGGAGGGATAATGAACCTAAATTTTTATTCTAACACAAACACAGATACACCAACAAAAGGGAGGGAAGTGACTCTCAACACAGAACGAGACACTATGTTTATCTGAGCATGTAACTTTAAGGACGTCTGGTAGTATAATAACAGGATAACTTATTCGCCTATTGTAGACAGTAATCATTAGAAAATTTCACAGATAAAAAAGAGAAGCTATCAATTAGATAGTAAAAAAAAGCAGTATATATAAAGAAAAAATAACGAGCGTGGTGTTCTAAATAGAACAAACAGCTTACAGGTTTCCCCCTTGGCAGTTTTGTTGTTGGAGGAGGCAACCTGACAAGTGGACCGTCTATATCTTCGGTTGAAGGCAAGTTGAAAACACCACCGACAATGGCTTGAACTAGCCGAGTGCCATTACTTAAACATTCGCCAACTAACTCCTCCCTAAGTAGATTGAAAGGGCACCCAAATAAAAACAATCAAAATATAATCTCCTGGAACTTAATAAAGTAGAACAAAAAAATTCGAATAAAACCAATAAAAGATGGGCAATCACTAAACTACTTAAAAATCTTAATTCCTGAGCCATCGAAGTGAATTCAAACACAAGCTTCTAATAAGGACCAAAACAAGGACTATAAGCATACACATGAAAATATAAAGCAAGAAATTAGTTAAAAAGAAGAACAAGAACCTGGAAGAAGGAACAGAAGGAAAGTGGTGAAAAGGGTCAAAAGCCATAAGATTTCCAAGGTCAACCTGGTACTCATTTTGTGCATCCATCTCCCTGTTCAATACCCTAGAATGTAACCATAACTGGTTAGTACGTTTTTTCGAGTAAAGGGATGGAAAACACGAAATATTCAGAGAAAACAGACTCAGTAGTAGAGAGAGATGGAGTAGCTATACACAGAAACCAAGAAGAGGAGGAAGCCTGACCTTAGAAATACAGAGCCGCCGTTGGTTTGTTAAAAGAGTCGAAGGAGAGCCGCTTGAGAGATTTTGCGATTCGCTTTAAGCTTAACCTGGTTTTTTTTCCTTCTTTCTATCACTTGCATAAAAACGGTGATTGCTTGGGCTACTATTAAAAGGAAGCCCAGTTAAACTAAAAGGCCCAATAAATCTTTTTCGGGCTCCATTCTACAAATTATCACAATTTCTAAAGAGCCCAATAAGTTATTTTGGGCTTAGTCTAACATATGATCGTTTTGACAGAGGTAGTTCGGTTCAGCTGGCCCAAACCAAAGCATCCCATGAGCCTAAGCAAAAACTTAAGCTTTAAAACTACGGAAAATTTAAAAGGAGGGGACCATACTACGTCGTAGAGGTTTTCGCCAAGTTTTATTGACAGCTGGCATTCGCTAGCTTCCTTGTTCCTATGATGGTATGTGTGGCATGCACTATGCAGACAGAACTGGACGGAGAAAGGACGAGCAAGCGTTCATGTACTGTGTTTATTTTTCGCCGTTTATCGAAAGAATTCCAGAGACCAAAACGAACTTTTGTTAAAGCTTTATCAATTTCTCGTGTAGGTGTGTTTTTGGGAATTTATTTTAGTCCTTGTGTTTATTAATAACATTTGAGTCCTTATTTATAAAAAATTGGTCCTTTATTTTTTGGTATATGCAATTTAGTAACCAGACAATTTTTTGCAACTAAGCTCCTACTTGTAAAAATTCATTTAGATAAAATATTGATAAACTTAATCAAACTTTAATCAACCAAATTACAAAAAAAAACTAAAACAGGTTTCACTGTTTCGATATTGTTGATCTTCACCCAATTGAATTGTGGACCATGATTTTGGCACATTATTCTCTTCATTTTTTCCTTATTTTAACTGTTTGTTTCTTGCAATCTCTCTCTGCCTCTCTACTCGTCATTCATTTTCACCGATTCTTCCATCTTCTTTCATTTGTTTACTGAGTTTTTTTTTTTTTTTGTAGTTTATTGGTACTCTTCAGTTGTTTGTTTAATTACTTGAATGTCATTTTGTCAAACTTAGTCAAACTTTAATCAACTAAATTAAAAAGTAAATGAGTGGTGAATAAATAATTGATGATATGAAATATTTAAAAATAATGATTTGTCCATGGTATTGAACAATTTTACCCTTTGTCATGGGACAAAAATCTTACCTTAAAGACAATTTTAAACACGACAATAATTAATTCTTATCATATCCAGAATTTATCACGTTAAATCTAATCCTATTCTATCCAGCATACTAGATAGATCCTTAATTTCATATTAATCAAGAAAAGAATTTGTACATCAAGACTACAGTAATTCAAACATTTTGCCATAATCTTGTAGTTGTTGGCGTGGGCTGCACTTATCCTCTTCAGTTGAACATGCTCTGCTTTGTTTTTACAGATGAATGAACTTTAATATTTCAGTGAGTTATTTTGTAAATTGATGCATAATGTGTTAAATTTATATTCATGTTAAAAATAATACAAAAATCATCATAGAGCTTCGTTTAATATTTAAAATTTTTAAATTGAGATGATTTTTTAATATAACATTAGAGTTTTGATGATCAAATGATCAAGAATTTAGATTTTATTTTTATTATTTTTATTATTAACTAAAATAAAGTATAATATAGCGGTTTGTCCATGCAAGTTTCACACCTAATTAATATTAAAATACAACATAATTGAGTTTGTATATTTTTCAAAACTAAATAATTTTTACTCGAAAAAGTGAAAATGTATCTTTATAAAGTCTCGGGGCAAGCTTTAAATCCAAATAAGTTATGTTTGTAAAAGTGAAGAGATGTGTTTATAGAATTTTATCTCATAATTTAAATTTTTAAATTGAGATAGTTGTTTGATAGTTTTTTTTTTAGCATTATTATAGCTAAGGAGTCTTTTGCCCTTTTGCTTTTTAGCGCTATTGGTATTGTTGCTGTTATTGACAAGTATATACCATTGAAAGCCTCTTAATTTTGATGGTTTCGATTCCTGTCTAGAAGAATGGCTTATCCTAGCTAGTAGTAGTGGAATGTCGGTGCCGATTACGATTACTAGTTGGGCAATGCCATGCCAGTCACAAATGCTGACAACTAGATTTGTGGAAGAGAAATTTTGATTGGAACTCTTCTCTATTCTATGTATTGTCTCGGGTATACTTATTCTTATTAGGCATATATGCCTATCTATATATTTAAGATGGGTTTGACAAGAACTTGATTCCACTTTTATCATCCCGAAGTCAAAAAAAAAAATGCATAGATAAAAGTTGGGCGGCTTATTGTTATATATAGGTTATGCTTCGTATAGGAGAAAACAAATTGGTCTTGACAAAGTAGATTCTAAAAGACTAACTCAAGAGATAATTTTATCTGAGAGCATGGAAATATTCTTCTTTTTATAACTGATAGATAGCCAAGAAAAGTTTTTAATGTCAATTGTTGGATTTTCTTTGATGTGAAATATTTATGCAATTAATACTTTCTTTAGGAACTTGATGCTAGTTCCATTGCTTTATCTGTCAAAGCCTTTTTCCCTTTCTGAATACTAAATTTTTTCAGTGATTTATTTTGACTGCTAATATATATATATACATGGGTGTGTGTTTGTGTATAAGTGGGTGTGTGTCGACAGCAGGAATCATGCCTAATCATTTCAATCAACTAAAGGTTAGTTGAAACTGAAAATCAATTAAAGCTAATTTGATCCCTGTAGTAGCATAAAGCATTATGCTTTTGATTAATTATCCATAAAGATGTAGTTTAGAAAGGAGAAATCCAAATCAATGACCTGGGCGGGGTGGCTAAAGATTAATTGAAAAAAATAACCATATGCTTATTCTTAAGTAAGCTTGTTCTTTGATGAAGTTAATCTAAAAAAGAGAAAGTATGCTTGATAAGGTACGTGAATTATTTCGGGAACAATTTGGCAACCATCATTTCTGCCTTTGTTGAAATGACTAAAGCTCACAGCTTCCGCGGAATCTTTGGGCTGTCAAGCTATTAGATTTATAGAGATATGGAAAGAGGAACATTGCCCCCAAAAAAGAAAAGCAATAGTTGAGATATTAGAACTTGCCTGTAACCAAGTTCCAACCCAAAAGCATTATTTTTCATTTCTAATTCCTTTTCTTTTTAAATACCTCCAGACCCAAAAAGGAAAAATTAAAAGGTAGGAATTTAGACGTCTGTATGTGAAACTTCTGGAGCAATACGATTGACCGTACTACGAAGCAAGAATTGAGGGGAAAAGGGGAAAAAAAGAGAGAGAGAGAGAGAGAGAGAGACAATAAAACGTGGTATCCAATACATTGCGCCTCTGGCAACTGATGATTTAGTCTCCTACCCTCCAAGCAGAAACAGTTCCCAGAATGTCCTGCAACCAAGCGGAAACCAGGCTTTAGTTTGTCCGATGTTTCGGTGTAGACAGATTAATCTACCTCCATTAATGCACTGCTACCCATCAAAATTCTATGTATAGACATGTTTCTTAAAAGAGACCATACTTGTGGCCTTATAGTAAATTCAACATTAGAACCAAGCTCGAAAATCACATGTGGTTTTATTTGGATGACAGTTCAAATTAAAAACACTAATTGTATTGATAAGGTAAGTTTTACAGGGTAATATTGTACTCAGACAACATGTATGCATCCGTGGTCATATCATGAGATCACATCTATGATTGCTGGGAAATTTACGTCTGGCAAATTTTTTCTCATTTTTCATAAAATTTCTCTTTTTCTTATGAAACATATTGCTTTCACTTGTAGGTGTCTCGCAAAATAGTAGAAACATGATTTGAAAAAAGATGCATGCCCTCACTACGAATATTGAGTCATGCATCTTCACACACCTTTTTCTTTTTCTTTTTCCTTTTTTCAAGTGGCATTATGTCAATACAATTAGATCCAAACCTACTCTGGTTCCGTTCGGCACATAAATGCAGCAATGAAACAGTCCGTTGCTCGATTGACTATATATATAGAAGCTCCCTTGCGCTTAATTAATTAAAAAAGTTATTTCCATACTCTACAGCTTAATTAATTACGCTATATGATCATAATTTCGTAATCAAATACCACTAAAAAAATCTAAACACAATCAAGTACGTTTTTATAGGTTTTAGTTGTTTTGGAGAGATGCAACTTTTTTATACATGACCTTCAATCCTTATTCCTTTCTTTGACTGATTAAGATAAAAACTTGCCTCGGTAAGTAAAGAGTAATCTATCTAAATTCTGACCTGTAAGAAATTTATCCAATCTAACAGAAAAATGGTAGACGACCATAGTACCCTTAATTATTTAATATTATTAACGTGAAATATGACTAATAGAGAGAAGTTTTCACACATAAACCACTAAAAGTTCATAAAACTATCATTTCATCTGAAATTAATTTAATATTGGTACTATATATTTTCATTTTAATTAATGGGAAAAAAAGAAAAAAAAAACTATATATGGTGTTGGTGGCCGTTGAATCTTTTTTTTTCCTAACTCAAAAACTGGTCATCTATCAACTATCGTTGGTAAGTATAAATTAATTTTAAAATAAAAAAATTTCAAACCCTCTCCATTTTTAGAACCAAAGAAGAAAGTATATAAGTTTTGTGGTGGTCACAAAAATATGTTAAAATGAGATTTGAACTTTTAACCTCTTATTAGAAATCCAAAATTCCAACCGGTAAGTCAGTCTTTGTAATTAATGACTGTTAAATCTTTACATTAATTCCACGACATTATATGTTTTTAGGTGATCCCACAACATACATGCTCTCTCTCAATTTTGGTAACTTTGATGTTCTACCACTTTCTAATAGTTAAAGAAGAAGAAGAAGAAGAATTAGAAAAAGATTTAGTGTGTTCTATATTTAATTTGTTGTTGGTAGGGGAAAAAAAACGTGTACAGACAAAATGCCTATAAAATCTGTTAATTAATGAGGAGGTGAGCTTATAAAAGGCAGATATATGCCCGCGCCCTTCTTAGCCTCACTCTTGTAGAGGAATCGGATCGTACCTTTACCATACAATCTAACCGTAGATCTCTGTCTCTCTTGTCTAGAAAAGCTTTCCTCTCCTCTCTCCCTCTCTCTCAATTCTCTGTCAACAACTCTCTTTTTCTTTCTCTTTTACTTATTTATCATCATCATCTTCATCATCATCTCCAACAATCACCTGAAGATCAGTACAAGAGGAACCACTAACTGGAAAACATGTTAAAATTACCAGAAGTACTTCCTGATTGTTTCTATCAAAACCAACCAACCTTAATCTCTCCAAGCAGCCCAACACCAAAGCATTCTCTGTATCTTTCCAATCTTGATGATCAAAAGTTTCTAAGATTCTCCATTAAATATCTCTACCTTTTCAAGAAATCTATAAGCTCTGATGTCTTGAAATATTCACTCTCCAAAGTTCTTGTGCATTACTACCCTTTAGCTGGGAGGTTGAGAGCCAGCACGGGAGTTGATCAGAAACTCGAAATTGATTGCAATGGAGAAGGTGCTGTCTTTGCTGAAGCTTTCATGGATATCACTGCTGAAGAGTTTCTTGAACTTTCTAAGAAACCAAACAGGTCCTGGAGAAAACTCATGTATAAAGTGGAAGCTCAGAGTTTCTTGGACATTCCTCCTCTTGTAGTTCAGGTTAGCTTTTTCATATTTCCTTGTTGTCTACTCTCTTCTTTTCCTATTCATATATCCTTGTTGTCCAGTCTCTTCTATTCCTTTCTTGCAGGGACGACTTTCTTGAAACTTTATCCTGTTTTCTTTTATTTTCCTAGAGTCATATGCTTCTTCAGGTTTCTTGATTAATTTTTCTCACAGGATCATTAAATTTTCCTAGACCCTTAACTATTCATGGTTAATCAATTTATTTTGCAACCAATCAACTTGATCAGCAATCAGAATGATTATTGACTGACATTTTGCTTAATTTTTTTAACTAATCAGTGCCTAACATTAGTTAATGTGCTTTTATTCCTTTGTTAATCAATTCAAATTTCGAAAATTTTTGCTGGATTGCCAATTTGCTTTGGTGCTCCAATATCCTCTGACGTTGCCAATTATAGATAGATACATGTAGTTCCAAGTTGTTCTGTATGATCTGTCTCTTTCAATCACACATGACGGTGCCAAGGCAACAGACAAAAAATTGTATGGCTAACGACGCCGTTTAACTGTTTACCCTAGCCGCTAGAGACAGGATAGTGTTACCCAAAAAGCAATTGTCCCTACTCTTCTTTGATCTTGTATGGCTACTCTCTCTCTCGTGTGTTCCTTTCAGTTGGCTTGGTAGGTGAGTTTTGAGAGCTGGACGCCTGGACGCCTCTCCTTTTTTCTAAATTACTATCCTGCCCCTAACTATCAAATTTATCCCACTGTATTATTCGCAAAAAAAAAAATAATAATAATAACAGAGATAATTTGACAAAATTTATACCTTTCAAAGATTCAGGTACATTGCATAAGTGTGCGTTCCACTTCCACATATTATTTGGGCTCCACACCTGAAACTGTCTTTAATAAAGTTATGAATTTAATTTCTAATGCAAGATAAACTGTCTTTAATAAAATTGAAAAAAAAATGATCTGCTAGAAAATTGGAAGTGGGTGTATTTTTTGCTTTTTTAGATTAGTCTTTTTCCTTATTATTTATTTATACATGAAAATTTAGCTTGACATTTTTATTTTTCAGGTGACGAATCTCAGGTGTGGAGGGATGATCATGTGTACCGCGATCAATCACTGTGTGTGTGATGGAATTGGCACATCACAGTTCTTGCATGCATGGGCCCAGATGACAATAAAGCCGGATCTTGATCTGCCAATCGTACCGTTGCACACCCGCCACGTGTTGAAACCTCGAGATCCCGCAGAAGTAGCCTTTCCTCACCCAGAATATGTCAGGAATGCCCCTAGAGAAAATGGCCACACAAACATTGACATTAACCATTTTCTACAATCTCAGCCGCTAGTGCCGACATCATTAACCTTCACCGCCTCCCATATACTTTCCCTCAAGAGGCAGTGCGTACCGTCGCTGAAGTGCACCGCCTTTGAAGCATTGGCATCTCACACATGGCGTTCTTGGGTTAGGGCACTGGACTTATCACTTTCACTCACTGTCAAGCTTCTTTTCTCTGTCAATGTCAGGAAAAAGCTAATCCCAGAAATACCACAAGGGTATTATGGCAATGGATTTGTGTTAGGATGTGCACAAACTTGTGTCAAGGATTTGGTCACTAGTAACATGTACCATGGGGTCAAGTTGGTTCAACAAGCTAAATCAAGTTTAACTGATGATTATGTGAGGTCAATGATTGATTTGTTGGAGGACAAATCAGTGAAAACGGACCTCTCGATGAGTTTGGTCATATCGCAATGGTCTAGGTTAGGGTTGGAGGATTTAGATTTTGGAGAAGGGAAGCCATTACATATGGGTCCTGTAACAAGTGATATTTACTGCTTGTTTTTACCTGTTGTTGGTGATTTTGAAGCTGTGAGAGTGCAGGTATCAGTGCCAGAGAGCGTGCATGACAAGTTTGAGTATTACATGAAGGATTGCTTGGGTAAGGAAGCAAATGGGTATCATGTAGAAGAAAATGGGTTCTGCTAAAAGAAACTTCTGCTTTTTTCTTTTTTCTCTTGTTTTTTAACCTTTAGTTAATAAAACCCATGTTTAATGGGATCAACTTAGAGTAATTTAAGTATGTGATAATGAAATCTGACTGATAGTGTGAAGCTCTATATATATATATATTGAAATTCCTAAGTAGTACTGTGTATGAATGTCTTTCTATAATAAACATAATTTTACATTGGAGCAAACACCTTTATTCTGGTCTTTTCATCCTATATGTTAACGGTAAAAATAATTATGTTCGAAACAGAAATAATAAAATCTATTTTTTTAATAATTAAATTAAATTTATTTCAATAAATATGATTTTAAATTCTACATATTAATAAAAAAATTATTTAAAAATTAAATTGTTTATTATATGCACCAACTTGTTGGTATATATCCAATCTTATTTCATGAGAAATTTTATAATATACTAGGACTAGGAGTAATTAGTGATATGTACGGTAGTTACTTTATAGGCTCATTTTGAGAAGAGAGATAGACACATAAAAAAGATTAAAATTATATTTATACCCATCAAAAGTGTTAATAAGATTTTCACGTTCGTTCAAATTTTTTTATTTTCTCTCTTTTGTTTTTCTCTCTCTATTTTTGTATGTCTATCCCTCTTTTCAAAGTGAGCATGTAGAGTAACTATTATACGTGACACTAGTTACTTCGATGTATTATAAAATTTCTCGTTATTTCATCTCATCGAAAGAAATTATTGGATGTACAATTGCTTGCTTTGTTAAGCTACAAGCAAGTCAAAATACACGAGTCTTTGGTATTTTTACTATGTGTTTGTTAAACCATAAAAAAATATTATACAAATCAGAAAACTATTTGAAAAATTTATACCTTAAATTCTAATATTATTCACAATTGCTACAAAGATTTTCTTAATCTGGATGGTTTAAATTCAAGTGGATTAGAATGATTGATGTGACGATTTCTCCTAACCTTTTGGCTTCTACGAGAAGGGTCTGCTGAATCGAACGATATTGTCAAGGATGACAAGAGTATTCCTCTTTTTCTTTTCTTGGAAGAAAGCCAACGAGTGGCTTCCCCCATAGAGAGGCAAGCTAACATTAATTTTGCCTACAAAATCGGTTGCCGGATTTCTATCACATGTTCTACAAATCTCTGATCCAATGAAATAATCCACAGTGCATCGTAAATCAATTGAATTATTGCATACAGTGAAAAATCGAATCCATTACGTTAAACCAAAAAAACTCCCAACTTTACTTCTTTTAGTATTGGATTTTGTATTTCAAAGCGTGCTTAATTAGCTGACTAGCTCGGCGTTTTCCGCAGATCCACCAAAATTCCTCTTGGTAGACTTTTATAGCGTGGCGTATTCGGGCCAGGGTCGTTGTCTTAGATAGCAATTTCTTTTTTGAGAAATTTATGTGGATGCGGTCACTTGTGTCAGTCCCAGCCTGATTATTTAGAATGGCATACTAGAGAAATTGACAATATAATGAAGACTCGCCTGAAAAAGATAAATATTCTAAACCAATCAATAGCAAATCAATCGTTCTTTCAGTGCTCAGATGATGAAAAGTTGAGTGCTCAGTTCATTTTCAAATAATTAATCAAAAAACCTTTTTTTTATGTGGTATTATTAATGATTTTATCATGTTGACTTTCCTGTATTAAAATTAAATTCTTTCCGATCAAGATCTTTCCCTAGATTGTTTTTTTTTTTTCCTGAGTACAGTTGATATTTCCTTAGATGTAATAGCAGTATAGTTGTGCCAAGAAAAAAAAAGCAATAGAGAGCGGTACTATATAGCATATCTTGGAGGGATGCTAGTCGAGTGTATAGGATATATGAGGTATGTCGGGTGGAATAAGTTTCCAAACTCTTCTAAAGTTGATTTTGCATCTCTTTCCTTTATTCTAAGACATAAAATAATATTCCCTGTGCATGCGAATGTTTTTAAAAAGGCAGTGCGGCATGTTATAACTTACAGAAAATTTTGTCTTTGTATTTCAATGGAGGCTATGCTGTCCATTACTTTCGAGCAATATGGTCACAAAACAAATTATTAGACAATGACACAATGCCCATCATGATCAGTTGTTGGGTATTGATCAATAGAAGGGGCATTTTGTGAAGGACAAGCTGGATTTGGAGTAATTAAACCATTACAAAACGTACTACTACATTTGATTGTATTGTTATCTGTCATCCGAGATCTTTTTTTTTTTTTTGTATAAAAAGTGTTTTTGTAATAAATTCTGATTGATTTAATTAAAAAGTTAAAATTTTTAAATCAATTAAAATCTAAACCTAATCTGGTATTACTTTAATATAAAAATAATAAATTTAATTTCAATTGATTCGAAAATTTATCCAAAAACACTCCCACGTGAGCAATTATTATTTTGGAAATGCTATAAGTGACAAATTTAATACTGTCCAATCAAATGCAAGTGCTAGTTACATTCTTCCTTTGCCTTTCCAATCCAACTGGTGAGGAAACGAAAGTGGCTACCACATTCATTCATGTAAAGAAGCAGTCATTCATGTAATATTATAGATATGATATTGTTGTCATCATCATGATCTCTCTTTTTGGGAATCGAGGAGTTCAATTCCACCTCTACCACGCCATGGACAGATCATGTTTGATTTTATCTTTAATAATATAACTGATGCCAACATCTGAACTGGCAGGGAGACTTCCGATAACTTAAACAACAAAGAGATGAGATAAAATTATTGCACCTCTTCGATGCCACTTTCTTTAGTTATTCCATAAAATACATCCACTATATTATGTTTTTTAATGTCAGCGTAGGTCGTGAAAATTGCGTTAATTGTTAGGTCAAAGAGAGTATCATAACATTCGACAAGTGTGCAGTGTCCGCCTATCCGGATTTTGCTTCTATTCATTAAAAGAAAAGAAAAAAATCATAGAATATGTATATACATAGGGTAGAGGGAACGGGGTTCGACTGATCCGAAAGTGTAATCAACTGCATGATGCATCATGTCATTAGAGTAAATTATAAATTAGTCCATTTGCTTTTATAAAACGAATTAAATAGTTTTTTTTCAAGTTATTTTGTTTTGTTTTGTTTTATTTAAAGAAATATAGAAGGTAAATAAATATTATGTAATGATTGATGGAAAAAGAAAATATATTCTTTTTAAATATATAATTATTAAATTAAGGATGATCAACATTAATCAAGAGACTAATTAATTAATTTTTGAAACTAGAAAAATTATTTAATTCATTTTAGAAAACTAAAAGGAATATTTTATAATTTACTCCAGGTCACTACTAATTTTGGAATTATGATTTTTATTTTATTTTCTTTCATTTAGGAGACTTTAGTAGGCGTATATTTTCTTAATTGATTAACAAGGCAACTAGGCCACCTCTAGACTACTTTATAGATCCACATGAGAGATAATGGTACATGTAAAAGATTTTGATTCCAAACTTTATTATTTGTTTTGCTTTTTATTCAGATATTTTCATCTCATATTATAGATAGAATTAATCATATTTAAAACGAGATTAATAAAATTTAATTTTTTTAATAAGTATAATTTTAGAATTTAAATTTTATATATTGATAAAAATTTATTTGAAAATCAACTCATTTACTAGTGGACCAACAAAATATCTCACATTAATTAATTTATACTGTGTGCATGGTTTGCTTGGTTTCTTTAATTAAAGGGGTGATTAATAAATACTATATTCTTATCTAGCATTAAGTAATTAATAAGAGGGCGAGACCCACATCCCTCGTGATTCGGTTGACTTATGGTGGCATCTTGATTGACTTTTCTGGGAAGTCCATTAGTCTTATTGGAGATCCACGTGGTAGAGCTTAATTGTGCCCTATCATAAGAAACTCAAATTTAGAGTGACGATTAAGTATCATGTAAAGTGAAAATTACAACTCATATGAGACAACATAAAATATTAATTCCTGATTAAAGCCCTAATCGAATTATCTCTTCTGACGTTTACTGTTTACTATTTAATTTTTCTATTGTGCCCCATTGGCTTGGTATAATGATTTTTGCCTTCTCAATATTCTTAGTTTGAGAGATTTCTGAAGACTATGAATAGTTGGACAAAAGGATTCATGTTAATGTTTTCATTTTGTTCATGATTACTAAAACTCTTGTTCAATAATAATGATGGAAGTAACTAACAATCAAGACCAAAGGGCAAATCATGTGTATATATCTAGAAGAATTGCTGACAGGAGGCAGAGACGTTGAAGAGATTTGTTAAGACAGATATTTGGAGAATCTAGGGCAGCGACTTCGATGTCTCTCCGAGCATGAGATGAGATAAAAGCGAACTCTGCTTCTCTCCTTTTACCTCACCCACCGTATGATCTTTTCTAGATTCGATTGTCATTTAGTCAAGTAGATTATAAATTAGTTTTTTAGTTTCGAAGATCAAATTAAATAGTTTTTTATTTTAAAAATTAATTAATTGATCTTTAATTAATATTGATTATAATTGATTTAATATTAATTTATTTAATAAAATGTTTTTTTTCATCAATCATTTCATATTTTTTATTTTTAAAAATAAAAAATCAAATAAATTAAAAAAAATTAAGTTACGCATAAATTTAGAAACATAAGAATGTATTAATTAATTTTTGAAACTAAAAAAATAATAATAATTCGTTTTGAAAAACTAATAAAAAAAACGAAACAAATTTATAATTTACCCTCATTTAAACTTTAGAGCGCATGACTCATCCTTTGATTCTCAACTCTGTACCTTAACCTTTTTAGGCTTTGGAGTTTGGTAATCTTATAATTGCGAAACACGTTTAACGTTTGCCCTGCTGGCTACTTTTTTTTTTTTTTTTTTTTAATTATAGAAATTTCCTTTCCTTTTTTTTTTTTTTAATTGGAACATGGGATATTATACCTAAGTTTCTGCCGAAGAATTAAAACTTCATAAGGGATTTATCGGTGGAGTTGACTCTTTAGGCCAAACCTTTTGATTTTACTGATGTCTGAAAGAAAACTCGGAAAGGAAGAAATCAAAGAAAGAGGATTACAAACAACATTCTTTGTAACACTCAATAAAGTAGAATATTTTCATATTTTAAAAATAAATAAATAAAAGATATTTCAATTTTTTAGATAATATAAGATTAGTTATAATTTAATTTTTTTTTGAGAACGTAAAATTCAATTATTTTCAGTTTGTTATTATTTATCCAATGACATTTTTATTGAAAAAATATTTAAAGAAAAATATCGGAGAAAATGTTACTGGCACTCCTCGTCAAAGAAATTAAGGACGTACGTGTTTGGGCAATGAAATTGTTACTTTGTCTCGACACATTTAACAAACGTTAACAGAAATCAGAACCACAAATTTATTTATTTTTCATTTTGTTCCCTTGCTAAATCTGTCATTCAAACAGAACAAGTTAATTTTTTGAGCAATCATGCCGAAATAATTTATTATTTTTTTAAGGCTAAAAGGATCAAATCTTGTTCTAAATTTTAACCTATTAGAAAATCAGTCAATGAATTTTTAATTTCAAATTTGAAATCAACTTTTTTCATTTTAGATGTACTCCATATCTTAGTTTTTTTATAAAAACTAATGATCACATAAATAATCTCATGATAAAAATTATTTAGTAAGATTTATTTGAAACTCTCCAAAAAATTTAAGATCATTTCGAATTATTTTTTATTTTTTTAATTTTCTATATTTTTAAAGTTAAGAAATAAAAAAATTTACTTTTCGATTTGAAAAAATCTGAATTTTTTTTTTAAGAAAATATATTGAATGTTTTCAAATATATGTGCAAAATTTTATCTCAAACTACTAAGATTTGAAATTTTTTTAACAATATGATAGATGAAGATAGACTAAATCTAAAAAAATAAAAATAAATAAAGTTCACGAAATGTGTAAATCGAAATTAAAAATTTAAAAACTGATTTTTAAATAAAGTAAGATTTAGAGAAGGTTTGACCCATTCTGAAGATTTAGAGAAGGTTTGACCCATTCTGCCTTCCTTTTACGGTGGCAACTTGGCAACGAACACTTTTATGGTTCCATTAATGAAATCTCTAAACCACAGCTTCTTGAAAGTCTTCTGGTGTTTGTTTGTTTCTCTAAAATCCTTGCATCAAGACCATGTAGTTGCTTCTCTCGTGATCTTCCAGGCTCCACAGAAAGCAGGCAAAAGCATAGAACCATTTAACAATGTTGGATCCAATTTAGAATTGGGCTGATAGGCTCAAACAATAGGGTCCAGACTTTAATTGAACAAGTTTTAGTAATTTAAAAGACCGGGCCCAATTTGAGGACCGAGTGGGTCTAATAAATTGAGTTTAGGCCCATATCTTTAAGATCACGTGAAGCACGAGGAATCTCAGCTACAAACCGCCGTCGCAAACCTTGTTGAGCGCGTAAAAAGAACGCGTATTGAGGTGACGAAAGCACGCCTAGCATCAGAGTCAACGTCAAATTCAACTTCAAGTGCATTAGCCTTGAAAAAAAGAAAAAAGGTAAAATCAAGTGAAATAGAAGAGCTTCAAACGGTAACTTAAAAGCTAAGGTTACTGAATACCGACTGTTGCATCCCCTGATTCTTCCATCGTCTCCAGGTATGCATGTTTTTTTGAATCAATTTCTAGGGTTATTGCTTTCAATTAATCGATCCCCTCTTTTCTTTTATATTCGAATCTAGAGTTTAATTGGATATAGAATTCTGCGTTTTGGCTGCCAATTTGAGCTTTTAGTTTCAGTAATTGCGTTGAATTTATATAAAGAAAATAGCCCACTTTTCTTATTGGAAAATTGAGAAAACAAAAAGAAGGAAGTTTGCATGATAAAGAAAATTCAATAAATAGTAATCAGCCCCACCTTTTTTTTTTTTTTTTTTTGGGAAATTGTGAAACTTTTGGGGTACCAGAAATTGGTTCTGGAAACTTTTGGAACTTTGTATATCAATAGGTTTCTCTTTATGCAGTTTTTGCTATCAATTGTCGGTCTTTGGTTAATATTTCTTATAAATTTCCCTTCAGAACTTATCTTCTTTTTTTTTGTTCAATTTGGTAAATGTTTGTTTATTCCTCAACATATCGATATCATCACTGTGCAGGAAATTGGTTCAATTGCAGAGGTGATTTTTAAGAAGAAAAGTGCTTCAGCAGTCATAGTTTAAGTATATTTATCTCCCTCTTCGATTGAGAAGAGAAATTGAGCATGGCAAGGCAGATGCCTAGGATTCCCAATCAGCATGGAATTGCAACTCGGATGCACTTGCCAAAAGAGCCTCATTTTCTTGCACGCAAGTGGTACTTCAGTAAACAAGAAATTGAAGATTTTTCCCCTTCTAGAAAGGATGGTATCGACCTTGATGAAGAGTCTCAATTACGGAAGCTGTACTGCTCGTTTATCAAAGAGCTTGGCATGAAGCTTAAAGTGTAAGCTCTGGATATTATTCATGTTGATCCATGCTTTTGAAATGTAGTAGTCGAGTAATTGAATGCGTCTATATTGTGTGTGCTTCCATAGTGTTGCTGACTATACATTCTTATATGTTGGATTCTATATTCATTCTACTGGAAGTTGCTTCCTGTTACTCGATTGTTTTTAGCTTGTATACTTCATTAAAGTTGCCTATTATTACTTGATGAAGTTTGCAGATGTTGTTCTACAATATTGGCTGAAGATTCCAGATGGAGTTGGATTCCTTTTTTCACCCAGTTGCTTGTCATTATCAAAAGGAAGAATTTTGTGTCCTTTTAGGATGTCAGTTCTCCTGCTGTTATCTGCACGGCGTAGCAGTATATATTCAACCCATCTACCCCTCATGGTTGATGGGTTGATACTTGATTATGTTCAGAGTCTCTTCTTGTTTTTACCTTGTCTTGACTTGATTAAACCTTTAGGTGCAATTAATGCCACGTGAATCACTTTGTTTCACACTGGTTGCAACATCTCTGCCAGTCTACTGTTTTGTGAAGTCATCTTTTTGAAACTGCTCCTCCATCTCCATGCTCCTTGTGTCCCATGACAACACATCTTTAGAAGGATTGGTGTACAAAACCTTCTCCAACAACTCTTAAGTTGTGTTGCTTGATGAACCCTCTGAAAAGCCTAAGAGTATTATTGCATAGTTGTGTGGATGTGATTGTCCTTGACATGTCATCATTGCCTTATATGCAAAACATTTTGTTTTCATGATACCTTTGGCATTTCATATTCACCAGAGATGGTGATCAATGATGTCTGCCTTTCAGGCCCCAGGTGACAATAGCATGTGCATTGATATTGTGCCACCGGTTTTACATGCGTCAATCTCATGGAAAGAATGATTGGAAGGTACTAATTCCTTCCTTGGGTTGTATTTGGCTCTCCTGTTCTCATCTATTCTTCCTTGGGATGGCTAATCTTCCTTGTAATTTTTCGTTGTCAGACAAATACTTATAGAATGCAAAGTGTATATCTAAGCATCCATCCTATTACACACACAGTGCTGACATGTTGCATGCAAAACTGAATGCAAGGCATCTATGCATGATATCTATAAATGTTGAAAACAGGAATATGTGCCTGTGCTGTTATGCTATCTCTCAAGTGGAATGGTTAATAATATTTTTGAGCACGACACCAATTTCCAAATAAACAAGACTTTTTTTTCTCTCTTGAAATGCACTCTTGCTTTAAGTAAGGAAACAAATCTTTTTCTGACTAGTTCAAGCTCAATATAATTGGGGTCTGCTTTTTATCCTTTTCCTCCCCTCTGCTTGAATAGAATCATCTTTTCTAACAGCACCCCACATACTTAGGTTTCACAGAAGCGTATAGCCTCTCTCTCTCTCTCTCTCTTAAAAAAAAAAAAAAGAAGATAGCCGGTTTTGATTTCTTGTAAGTTATGAACATTGCAGACAATGGCATCTGCAAGCATGTTTCTTGCTTGCAAACTGGAGGAAACCCCGCGCTTGCTGAGGGATGTTGTTGTTGTGGCTTATGAGCTGATGCACAGATGGGATCCTTCTGCCTCATATAGAATCAGGCAAATAGTAAGCGGATTTCTGTAATTCTTTGAATTTCTGTTGTTCCATACCGTTGTGCTTACTAATCCCACAAATCATTTGCTTGTAGGAATTTTGCGATAAACAGAAGGAATTGCTTGTAATTGGAGAGAGGCTTTTATTGACTACAATTGGTTTTGATCTTGATGTCCATCTCCCCTACAAGCCACTTGTAAATGCTTTGAAGAAATTGAACATATACCCGGATCTTGCAAAAGTAGCATGGAATTTTGTGAATGATTGGTGAGTCCTTTATTCTTTTGTTTTGTTTGGTCCGGTGTAGATTTGATGATAGATTCATGCCAATCATCTCTCTGATGTTTTCTGCAATGGAATTTGCAGGCTTTGCACAACTTTGTGCTTGCAGTACAAGCCCCATTACATTGCAGCTGGTTCCATGTATCTTGCTGCCAAATTACAAAAGGTGAAACTGCCTACAGAGAAGGAAAAGGTTTGGTGGCTGGAGTTTGATATTTCACCTAAACAATTAGAAGGTATGTTCAAATATATTGCCTTAAGTCTATTTATGAACATGTGGATCATTGACCTTGAATGCCTGCTGAGATCAATCAACATTTCTATTATATTTTAGTATGATTATGCAGATGCAGGTTTTGTAATTCAGATACAAATTTCTTAAGAGATGCTCCCATATTATTAGTAGAACTGTGTTTTTCTATTCATTCATGTTTCATTGGTTACTTTCTGTTATTCATTAACCTCTTTTCACAAATTCTTTCCAGAGGTCATCCAACAGATGGCCAGGTTGTTAGAGCAAGATCCAAAAAGGGCTCTTCCTGCAACACATGGTAGGGTTACACAATCCAAAGCTTCTGCCGAAAAGATGGTCACCAGTAGTCCACAATCAACTGTTACAAGTGTATCAATGGCTAATTCACTTGCTAGCGATGGGGCTGTGATGGAATCTACATCCTCCTCTGAGAGAGACACCAGCCTGAATGAAGTTTTACCATGTCAAACAAGTGATAGTGTTGCAAGCAGTATTGTTGAGGATGGTGATGGTGACGGGGAGAATCAGCTAAGAACTGGGGACTGTGATTTGAGTTCCAGCAATGTTCCCCCAGCTTATAATTCCTGTTGCAACATTGATGTCAACCGGATTAGAGAGACATTGAAGAGGCGGAGATGCCAGATAGCTGCAAAAAACAGAGCTTCATTGTCCAATGAAGCCATGGATGCTGAATTAGATACTGAAACCTGGATAGAAAGAGAGCTAGAAGAAGGAATAGATTTGCAAACTGCTCCTTCAGAAAAGAAACGAAGGAAGGTTTGATGCGGAGAATTAGAGCTAAAATGGTTTCATGTAGCTGGGCCAGTTTTGAAATTCAGAAATGGAAGTCTTTCTTGGTATCCTGCGATTGTCAGGGCAAGTTTTCTTCTGGAAAGGGAATTGTACAATTATTAGAAATTTTAGAATGACCTCTTTAACATTATTCTCGTTCGTTAATTGATGCCCGAGAAGATCAGCTAAAATAGATAAATATAGTTGCCAGATTTTTGCATCACATGTTTTCATTTTTAGCGAGAATATTAAATTTGTAAAGTATAGGTCATTTATGAGAATAGCATTTGTAATTGTTGATAACAGAGGCATTTGATTCAAGGAAGTGATTCAGGGTGTTGTTTTCTGCCCTTTTTTAAAAAGTTCCTCTTTGTTACGTTAATATTCCTCATTCGTTGTAAAGCTACGAAAGAAATTTTCCATGATTTTCATTTTCCTGGTTAAGTTGTAAGCAGGCCTGGTTCTATCTGACTCTTTTATAAGCTGGGTTGTGGTCGTCAGGCGTATCAAATTGTATAATGTTTTCTGTTACTGAAATATTGTATTTTTTTTCTTTTATACATATAAATTTATTCTTTGTTATGTTATATCAGTATTTTTTATTTCTATATTTTTCAAAAAAATTGTATTTCAACAATATTTTAGAAATTGGATTTAAGAGTATTTTCAAAAAAATACATCGCTTTAAATTTAAATCGAACAATTATTTTGTAATAACTGTAAATAGAAAGATAAACCATTTTTTTTGGGAGGAAAAGGTATTTTTATTACCGGTATAAAATTTCATAGACTTTTATTTTAAGTTGCCAAGCTTACCAAAGACAACCTTGTTTTTTTCCTGACGAAAAAGGGTTTTGGTATGGACATGGATAATATTTAAAAAATTGGTTAGGTTTTGATTCGGATGTGGATAATGCTTGAATAATTGGGTGTGGGTGTGGTTCGGATATTGTTTTATAAAGAAGTGAGAATTGCAGTTTTGCTATTAAATATGTTTAAGAACACTTTTACATTTTCGAATGAATTCCTTTGTCAATGTTAATAATGTTTTTAATATATTCTTATTCTATTTTTTTATTCAATGAAATCTTGAGTAAATATATCCAGTTGTTTTTATATAATATTTAAATTCTTCTATATATCTCTAAATTTTTATTGCACTTTATTTGCTTTTTAAAGTGTTTGAAATATTAAATTTGTCATTCCAATTAATTCTTCTAGCTATATAATTTTTTTTAACTAAAATGCCTTTGATTTAAATGAAAAAAAATTAAAGATTTAAAAAATAGAACATGTAAATCATGTGTCTTTTCTCATTTTAATCGAAAAATTTTAAAAAAATGAAATGCAATTAAAAATTTAGAAACAAATAATTTTTTTTTAGTATTATATAAAAATAGATATGTATATTTTCGTTGAAATCTCTTTAAAAATGAAATAAACCTGAATTTTTATGATTATTTTCAATCCTCTTTTGATGAGTAATGATTTAAGTTACTGTCGTTGTTTTTTCATTTCGGGTATCATGGCTACGAATTTTAGTAAAACCCCGTACCGTCCACAGTTTTCAGCCCAATTTAGCATATAGCCCAGATAAAGCTTGGTTCAAAACGGGCTGTGTCTTATATTAAGGCCCACTAAATTCTTAGTGGGCTGATAGCCTGATGCTGAGACCGTACGATTTTTTTTTTCAATGAGCAATTATAATATTACATAAAGGAAGTTACAAGTACTGAAATGCACTGAGCGAAAAGGTATTCCACTCAGGAGCGGAACTGGGAAGAAGAGTGGAAGGTCATGAAACCCCTAAATGTTGAACAAAACTTTACATTTTAGTCCTAAACTCTTGAACCTAGTTAATTATATCCTTCAATTTAACATGATTTGCAGCCAAAAAAAAAAAAAAAATGTTTTCTCATTTGCCCACAGTTCTAAATTTCTAGTTCCGCCTCTTATTCAAATCGTCCAATACTCCAAATTTAGGGTAACAAGTTCTATAATTTTAGCATTTTTCTTTTGCATGTTTTATTACTGCATAATATAATGGACAAAAAGGTGGAAAGCTGGCTTTTCTCTATTCGAAGGATAAAGGAAGGCTTCTACATCATTATGACAATTGTTTTCCTGTTTCAGATTAAAGCGAGTACTTATTTATAGACAGATTTCTTTTTTTCCTTCAAGACTGAAATGACAGTCGACTAATTAAGCGACTTGGATACATTAGACTGGGAATTCAAATTACTACAACTTCGGTAAAATTTAATATTTATATTATATTGACAACACTTTGCGTTGTGTTTTTTCATTTATGTCTAATTTCTCGAACGACAAGGCCAATATACGTTCAAGTAAAATAAATAAATAAAAAGAAACAAGGCCATTTATGCAAATGATGTGATGGTCAAAAGAAGAAAGAATGATCCAATGCCTAGTCCTCCTGAATGAGTCGATTCTTCTCCTTTTGTCTTAGAAAATGTTAGTGAAATTGATAAGAAGGACCATTATTTATCAGTCTCTTTTCCTTTCCAGCTTCACTTTCCAGGCCCTTTTGCACTTTGGCAATCCTTTTTCTCCGTACCAGACAAAGTGCCGATCCACTTCACTTTCTATCATCTATGATTTTTTGCCATATCCAATTAGAACCAGGGTTAAGCAAATCAAGACCGCAACGCATAAGGCTAAAGGCCAGCATCATTGGATTACATCTATAGACATAGACAAGAAAACCTTTGCTTTATGTTAGACCACCTAGAGTTGTGCACGAGATATATATGCAACAAACCCTGTACATTATAGAAAGATGAGAAGAATCATAGAGAATAAGGGAAATATTTATAATGGCTCAGTGGACATGGAAAGCAAAGAGAAGCATGGCCCTCCTTTTGTTGGATTTTCTTGCCCTGAGCTTGACAAAGCATATATTCTCCTGTTCCAATGCCTTGTCTTCTTCTCAGCACCTTTAAATCCTGCTTACTTTAGACCACCTCCTTTTAAGGGCTTTGCCAAGTATTTGACTCGAAGTTGAAGAAAATGAATTAATGACCGAACCTAAATGATTGGGATGAATGAGAAACTGCACAGATTATAAATTACAGGTTAATGGCAAACTTTATTGCTCTAAGATTGATTAGGACTTAAAGATTGGTTTCTTTTTCCAGAACCTTTAAAAAACAAATTGCTTTAGTGATGTTGAACCATTGATCGGATTACAAATTGCTATAGTGATGTTGAACCGTTGATCGAATTACAAACTGCTTTAGTGATCGATATTGTTGAATGAGAATTTCTTGGATTTTTTATGAAGTTGGTTGGTGATGGATACCTGTTATAACTACAATATCTATCACGATAATGCTTGTTTGGTACGTAGGAATTAACAATTAATAGAGATTGAGCTTTTTGACGAAGATCAAACCTAGAACTGGAATATGCATCTCTCATGGAAATTGCTAAATTCTTATGAAGTGTATGTATGGAATAAAGGGATTATTTTGATGGTTAAAAAGAGATGCATGTATTTTTTTCTTGACCATCATAGTTTAAATTTGATTAGACCGACAATAGAAAATAAAATTCTAACTAATTCTTTATTTTCGATTGCATATATAATGTCTTATCTAATAATTTAAAATTTTAAATTATGATAATTTTTTAATATGATATTAGAATCTTAATAATTAATCAAATAGTTACGATTTCAAATGGCACCATCTCTACTTACTCAAAAATTAAGAATAATATAAAATTATTTATAATGTCTTATCTAACAGTTTAAACTGCTAATTAATAATTTTTTAACATTAATTAGTTTCAATATGTTAAAACTAGTTAGAGGATATCTCTCTTATTGTTATAAAGGATTCTAGAATGTTGGAAAGACTCTTTCATAGAGTTTATATAAAATTATTTGTAAAATTAGGGGATTTTGAAAAACTATAAACCCTTGACCCCCTCAAGTTAGTCCTGCTTGCCGTAAATCTAAAAACAAATTAAGAGAAAAACATATGTTTATAGGGTAATTCATCACTCAGTCCAAAATATACAGTAGAGGAGGAGGTCGCAGATACACCTGCTGGGCCAAGAAAAGATTCCTTTATCACTTTGAATATCGATTATTAACCTGCTAATTTATTATTATAGCTCATTTATCATGAAAGCATTGGCTTTACAGAATGTACGAACGTATAATTAATCTTAAGACTGATTAACATATATACTATAGTTATTTGAAAAAGACTGCAACTTTACAATTAAAATAAAATATCTATGTGGCAAGTGCTACCAGTAGGTTTTTGACCCCAGGGTTGACTGGCTATGACTGAAGAAAGGGCTTTTTTTTTTGGATTTTGACGCATCTTTAAAGCCATTGATGATAGCAACTTGCTTTTGGAGGGCTATAGAAGCAGAACTGCTTTTACGAAAAAATTACATCATGAATAATTTAAGCATAACGCATACTTAAAAGATTCACCATGTATTACTTTTATCCAAGAATAAAAAAATCACTGTGGATAGCTAATCAACTAGGGTTGCACTCGTCCATCGTCTTAGCTTCTCTTCTTTGTACTCTTCTGCAATTTTATACTGTTTAATTTTTTTTAAATATATTTTCCACAGTGAGTATTTTATATATTTATAAATAATTAGAAGTAATTAAAGGGTAGGCCAAAAAAAAAAAAGTTTGTAATTTTCAAATGGAAGTGATATATATACCCTTTTTATGCAGTCACTAGCTCTAACTTTTGATATGATTACTACTTTTGATTAAAAAGATAATCACGTTTTGCGGAAATTCCCCAGTTTTGAGCCCTGTAGGGACCAATCCAGTCCATTATTTTTCACTTCAATAGTATCTTAATTATTTTTCTAATTAATTACTATCTGTTTTGTCTATACAGGAATAAAATTATTACCTTTCCACTAGGCTGTTGTAATTGTTCTGCTGAAAATGATTCTGTCCGTGTTTGCTCTATAATGCATAGCTATAAATC